ACTTGTGGATGAATATCGATTTTTTTCTAGGAAAGAAAATATCGATATATACATTGTGATATCGATATCATTATACAGCCCTAATTCTGCTATGAAGCATTGTGGATTTGTAAATGTTGACACCTTTCTGGGAATAAGGTCGATCAGGATTATCTCAGGAATTCACCCAACATATATTGTTTAGAATTACTAATGTTAGTTGTGCTAACTATGCTAATTGCTAATTAGCAGAATTAGATAACTTCTAAGCTACAATAAAATGTGCCATGCAACAAGTGTTGCTCATCAGCATTGCTGTAGCACAGAAAAAAAAAAAAATCTTACTTAATTTCAAAATTAAGTACGATCAACGTGAATTCGAACACAGGCAGCAAAAGAAGAGCAAACGTAACATTCATCTTTAAATATGGATAACATGTCTCGGATGTAGCTGTTTAAATATAACTCTGATTTCATCCAAAAGCCACATCACTGATCACCAACACTCATTTAGTGTTTGTGAATAAACCTGAACAGGATAAAATAGGTACAGGAAAGGGTGACCATATATGTAGTGTGTTTGATTTATATTTAGAAGATGGACTTTCCCAATTCTAACTTAGAAAATTAGAAAGAACAGCAGAAAAAGTCTGAATTCCAACTTGGAAACATTAAAGGTCACAAGCCATCCAACATGGCTGCCACATGAACAAAACACATCAAAGTTGGAAGAGTAGAGGTTTGTTGTTTTCAATAAGCTAGAGGAAAACATAGTACTATAAAATCTCAACACGTGAACATGTTGCTTTCGTGTTTAAATGCATAAAACAGAAAAAAAAAAAACATATCAGCTAGCAGTTAGCCACAACTATTAACAAATCCCACTGCTTTTCCCACTTGCAACTACAACTTGCTCAACTTAGTTGTGACATTGAAAACAGTAAATGTGATCAGCCAGGAAAACCGCAAACTTAATACTGAAGTTGAATAAGGAAAAAGGCAAATAAAGGCAAATAAAGAAAGTTTTAGAGCGAATTTGATCATACATGAAGAAATCAGTGTGTTGAGCATGTTTAGAAGTGCCTGCAGCCCAGTTGGCAGATGTTTCTATGGCTGACTCAGACTTGGGCTTCCTGAATAAAGGTCTGAGTTCATGCAGTGAGCTGTTGTTGCATAACACTTATCTTGACACCACACCCTGGGACTGGAAAGGAAAGGCCAAACCAGTAACAGTCCGTCTGGGTATCTGCTCTTCACATCCAAGGTTCTTAATGAACCTGCTCTTAGTTGGACAAAAATACATTTGTAAACAACATAGTTGGTATTTTTTATACTGCCAGCACCATCTTGTAGTGTGAATGTGGACTTTCAGGAGCGAAAACACATTAAGAATGTTCCAGAATGGTAAAGTCAGTGTACTCAGAATTTAAATTTATGAGCATTTTCATTCAGGAAATCAATTTAGAATAGTTTCATTTTATGTGGAAAACTTAGAGGTTTGTAGAGAAGCTGTGAACAGAAATTTACAATAAAATCGTACCATAGTACGATTTTAAAAGACTTTTTTGTTGAATGAGATCTTAGTGTTTTTTCTGTTGTTGTCTAATTCTAGAATGGCCAACAAAGCATTACAGACATTTTGTGTTTTCGCAATTAGGGTAAAAACTTGATAAATCTCAAAAATGTTTATATGGGGCAAAATTACCCAGTTAAGATTTTATTGACCACATATTTTAGAAATGGAACCCAATGTTAGCTACTTTAGCAGCATCTCAGTATTCCTACACTGCATAAAAAAAAAGATTAATTAATTTTTCAGGCCAAGAGATTTCACACTTGGCAAAATACTCGAAGGCAAAACTCCTGGAAATACTTCAAGGGAACCTTCCACTGTAGCTGATATCGGTGTAGTAACTACAACTACTTAATTATTATTTATAGAAATAATTATGGATGCCGCCATCTATGGATTGATTTTTAAATTGATGAGCAGCGGGAGCCGACAGTATTGTGACAAAATCAAACAAGACAAAGGGAGCTAAAAAAAGAACAGCTAACAGCAACAGCCTTTAATGAAGCAGTGACTGCAATTTTTGTAGAGAAGTCTGTTTGGATGTGTAGTCAAAGCCAGGAAAGGTGGGATTGTAATGTGATGTGTGTCACTATCGGCACTGTTTGCTTACATCTCGATTTACTGCGTTTGGCTTCTTCTGGTGCAGAAGTATGACACATGTTTCACGCCTGTGACGTAAAAGTCGGATGAAATGCAACACCATTGTTCAAACTGCAGATGTTTTGAAAACCATAGGCTACATAGTCGATTTAGTACCACATATGGAAGTGTTTGGGGTCAGAATTGGGGTATTCACACTGCCACTAAAAAGTTGGATATGGGACACATATGTAAGGGGAAAATCAAATTTGGGTCACATTCGCCTGCTTTGTGAACGCAGCACTATTTTTTTATTAATGCAGCACACATTTCTAGTTCTAATTTTACAGTGGATCTGTGTCTTAAATCCACAGATTATCAAAATGCTTCCACACAAATGACATCAAAGTTATGGAGGCTTCTTTGGCAACCAAGCTTTGTCAGTCAGTCCAATGTGGAGCATCTCCCCCCCACCAGCCACCCCAGCCTTTACTTATACTGTCACAGCTGCAACTTGCAGCATGTGTGCGTCTTAGACATTGCTGCCTTAAATGTACACAAAAGGGAAAATGTGAGTGTCTCTGACGTTCGTCACATATTATCACCTCAGTGCAGTGAGATCTGGGTGTTACAGCATGACGCTGCATCTTGTGGGTTGGGTTTAGCTGAATGTGGCACATAATCTGCTTCAGAACACACACATTATCAACGCAGCATGTATGCAGTGTTAATATGTCAACTTGGACATATGAGAAAAATCCTTTTGGTGTGGCTGAGGAGAAAAACATGTGGGCATTTATGAATTTTAATTGTGTAACAAGTTTCTTCCTTTGCTTGAACCAACTGAGCTAATTTTATAAAGTGTGACATAAATGGATTAGCTGGTGAGGTCTTTTAACTCTAAACACTACAAAATAAAAACATCTTTAACATTTTTAACTATAAAGGCAAATTTCATCTGCAAACTTTAAAATATTCTAATAAACTTATGACACCCATAAATGAAAAATAAGCATCGATTAGGACAACCTGAGAGCTAGCTAAAGCTGTATAATATTTAAGAGATTTTCTTCATCTCATTTAATCAAGATTATAAAAATAAAATTACATTTATACAAAGAAGTACATGTACAAGCTAAACATTTACAGCACAGCAGCTGTGGTTGCCCTTAAGTTTGGAGTGGTTTGCTGAAAAGCAGCTCATGGTTTGAGAAGTTGTTCCGCAATAATGTTGTCTTCGCTAAAAGACACAAGAGTCACTTCAGGTCTCTGTGTGAGGCAGCCAACGTGCAGCACAGAGGTCTGACGCTCCAGAATATGTGTGCACTTATAACACATGACAAGGCTACTTTTCAAAAAGTGTCACCTGAGGACAGAACACAAAACACAAGCAGGAACGCAGCTGAAACATCAGAAATGCTTTAGAATGACTCTTTTCTGAATTACCCTCACACTCTCACCTCCTAAAGGACTGGAGAGGGGAGCTGAAGGTTAGAGATACATCCAGAAATGTTCTGATGATGGATGAGGAACCACACCACCATGCCATAACAAATAAAATCAATTTATCCACATGACAAAGTTTTTTTGTTTTCTGTATGATTTAAACATCTTTATGGTAAAAAATATCTCCAAATGTATGCATCAATTGTTCAAATGGAGGGAAGGTGTGAGGTGAGGCAGTGAGATGTTGTGCCTCACCACTGGTGGCGCTGTGCCACACACACACGCAATGAAGCAGACAGCTGGCGAGTGACCATTGTTGTTTCTTTATATCGCCATACGTCTGATTTCACATGCATGTTCTTACATATTCAACGAATGTAAAAAACATATTTACCATTTCTGTTCATCTACAAATGGTGTGAAAATGTGAAGTGAGGCAGGAAGTACCATGCCGCACTGACAGAGGGGAGTGCTAAATCCTATGAGGACAATATTAGATGCTTGTCTTACTGAAAAAACTGAAAACAATCAGAAAAATACAGAAATTACACTGTGGATGGAACAAGTCTAGTAAGATTTATCTCCTTGGCAATTACCTGCACTGAAACAGCCAGCAGACTTTTATAAATGAAGGCAAACAAGGGCAGTTTTTATAAAAAATGTATGACCGGAGAGGGACATGGACATTTTATGCAATCAAATGTAAGATCAGTGACATTTCTAGGGTCTTGATCCCTTCTTCCTCCTGTTCCTTCAATGAAAATTCCTCTTTCAAATCTGCATTTATGCATATTTCAAACTATTGCTATATCTTGTTTGTTTGATCAAATTTGAATTATATATGTAAGATATATCATCACACGCAGTCACAACAATTTTCTGTCTGAAAGCCATGTACTGCTTATGAACTTTTTCAAATCAGCGAAACACACTCTCGGTATGTGCTTCTTATACAAAACAAGAAATGATCTGAAATTGTCACCTCAGCTGTTTTGTGGAAGTATAATATAATTTATTTGTTTAATTCAAATTTTCTTATCTACTTTTTTTTATTGTGATGTATGTGACTCACAACAGCACTCATCAGATTTGTCTGTTGCCCTCAACTCTCCCACAGTTTTCATAGGAACTTTCAATAGGTACATAATTAAAATTAAGTTGAAAATATTTAAAAATGAGCTGTTTTACTGACTTCCAGTTGCTGAAGCCAGTAGAAACTAAAGCATCTTTATTAAAGCCTGTATAAATGCTTGCAAACAGTGAGAATAATATAATAACAGAAGCAGAAGGCAGAATTTTGGCTAACTGAATATTAGCCAGTTAAATATTTCATACCAACTCCTCTGAAAGGTAACACTGCAAACTCTTCTGACAAGAAAATCAATTTGTGGCCTCAACTCAGATCACCTGACAACTTTCTCACCTGCTTCCTGACTTTCTTTCCTCTCACTTGTACTGGCCTTCTCGCTTCCATCGTGTTCTATTGGTTAAAAAACAAAAAATGTCAAAAATAAAGTAGATGTATACATAAATAAATATATCTATGCATAACATCAATATACAGGATTATTATTGGTAAACATTTTGATGAATAAATGAAAATTACATTAATAAAACTGAGCTGTGGGACAGGTTCCATAAATTACAGTTAATTTAGAATCACTGACCTGTTATAAAATGTCTACAGAATATGAAAATATACATAAAAACTATTACAAGTAGTAAATGTCCTACTGTCACTTTTAAATTAAATAAAAATCAGACTTCTGTAGCGCTTTTCTGGACACTCAAAGACGCTTTTCAATTACATCAGTCATTCCCATTCATACAAACATTCATGTTGATGAAAAGCTACTAGATTGTAGCCACAGCTGCCTGACAGAATCGAGGCAGCCATGTTGCGCCATCGGCTCTTCTTGCCCAGCGACCCACCGATTACAAGACGAACTTCTGCCACCGTGACTGCCACAGTCCATTTTTAAGTCTTTACAATGGGGCATGAATTTCTGACATAAAACGTTAGCATATTTAATGATATTTAAAATGATCATAAACTGGACATTTCTGTGCGAAAAAACACACAGATATTCACACAATTGTGCTCAAATTTGACCGACTGCTCACAAAGATAAAACCACTCCGTTTCTCACCGTAGGGTTCTGAAAACTTTGTGCCGCTTAGAAGCAAACTGTAGAAAAACCGTAAGGCGTATCAACATACCATCTTCATCTCTGAACAAAGCACAGATGTATCTCCAAACTGAACGTTGAATAGTGTTTCTAGGTGAAGCCATTGCGACACAGCAAATCGTCAAATATGGTCAATTTTTGGATTTTTTTTTTTCACGACCCGTCTCCATTGACTTACATTGAGTTTTTGGGACGTCTTTTGCCACGAATTACGTCGCCATGGTAACTCCGCCCCGGTGTTACGTCGATTCGCGTTTCCCCATCAGTTACTTGTTAAGGGCACTTTAGACAACTACGGACACCGTGAAAGCTCAAACGACGTGTTTTCAGCGAAGTTGTTCTCATAATATATATAAAAGACAAAAGGCGTTGTGACTTGACAAAAATTCAGACTTCTTCCAACAAGTGGCGCCACACATCTACGTGGTAGCATGTTGCGCTAACAGCTGGAGGAGATTTCATCATAATCAGCTTTATCCTTTGTCAGGAGAACAACAGAGACTAAGGTTGCACAAGGGTGTCAAACTGTTTCTGGGTATGGAAAAAAAAAAAAACTTTCTTTACACAATCTTTAAGAACCAAAATTTTAACAACTTAAAGTAGTATAAAGATGTTCTTGCAATATAGTCAGGTTATTGTTTTAAAAAAACACAAAAGAAGCTTTAGAAACAGTTTTGTAAGAATTTTCATTTTTCGAGTTTCAACCCCCTCAAAAAACTAAACAAGAAGTACACCAGATACAAAATACAGAAAACATGCTTGTGAAAGCAGTGGCAGAAATAACACAATCTGAAATGTCAAGTTCAAAATTATTTATGACATTTGTAAATTAAATATCAACTCTTTTCTTGCAGAGTACTTGCTTGTTCCTACGACTCAAGCTTAAGTCTCTTTAGAATGAGTGACAAATTTATCCCCACCTTTCAACATGACTAAATGTGCATTTAGTCATCTCCCTCCAACATTTTTATCCTGTTTTTATTAGCTGAACAAATATCAGACATTTTAACTGTTATAGTCATTTTGGGTGGGTTTCTATTTAGTGTTTTCTAGTTTTCAGTGGATTAAAAAGGCTGATAATGAGAAATATAAGAAAAAATTCTTTGCCAATGAAAATTAACACTGTTGCCAAGGGCTCCTCGCTTCCTCCGAACGTAGGAGGAAGACAGTTTTTAAACTCCGCAAGCACAGAAGCATGTAGTGTGAATAAAACCCATCTCAGCCTTCTCTATTTTCTCCTTTTTGAGAGAGCTGTACAAAGTTTCTTCCATAACTTCACTGTTTTCCTCACGATAAATCCATGTTTAGATTAGTGTTAACGTCTGTCCAGCTTTGGAGACCTCTGCTCTAGAGAATACACACTGAAAGAGCTAAATTGTGGAATCCCAAATACATTTGCCTTTATTAAAAATATTAGGACAGATTGGAAATCATTCAAAAATATATAATTGTTGCATCTTTACTTCAGATGAATGAATCAATTGCTGAGGCTACGTTAGCCCTTAAATAGTGTGAATGGGTTCATCATCACTGCAAAAAAACAATTGCACGTTTTTACCATTCTGCTAGATCTAGTCAAAAATTTAATGTTAAGAAAAGCTTTTATTTTGCTGCGTGAGACTGCAAATTCCCCTTCATTTGCTTTATTTTCTCATGACACAACAAACTGACACATGCAAACAAAAGGATTATTTGCTGCACATCTAAAAACAAGTTCTACTCTTCCTACATCAGTAATCCCTCTCCCCATGCTGAAGTATTTAGCCAGGCGACAGCGCTGAACAGAGATGAACATGGTGCTTTCAGGAGCCCCGTCACACAATATCTAGGGCAGAAAAAGATCCCAACAGTGGCGACATTTAGCGTTCGAGATGTTCCTCCTTTGCAACACATAGATGAAAAGTGCACATGAGAAGAAAAGGGGAAAAGACCACTTCTTCTGCAGCGCACTCCTTCTGGCGGCAAGTCAAGGGCAAGCTGCCAAGGCACTACTTTTCACTTTCCTGACATGAGGCTGAGGCAGGAGCGGGGAGGGCTGTTGGGTGCGTGCGTCAGAAGGTCCGCCTGGGACTCCCTTGCCAGGAGGTGGGAAGAGCATGTGTTTCTTATCTTATCGATGGCAGGGCTGGATCGCAGCGTCCAAAACCGACATTCAGAGAGCAGCCGCTTAAAATTATGGCCCCTCACCTCCCGCCATTCACTTCATTCACTTGCTCGCTGAGGCTGTGCAGGTGCACATGTGTGCGTGAATGTTTGAGTGATCATCATTCACCCGACGCTCTCCACATTCCAAAGCCAAGCCATTACAGGAGTCAGTGGGAATGTGTTAAATTAGAAAAATGCTGTTTCACTGAGGTCCTGTCATTTTTCTAGACATGCAGATTCTTCTGCACAAACAAGCAAGCTCACACGTCACACTCGAGAAAGGGAGATTTCCACGGCACTTCGATTTGCATTATTTCCATCTGCACGGTTCAGGTAATTAGGTACAAAGGGAAGGAACAAAAGAACGGTTGACTGAAAAGTAGATAATACTTGTTCTTTAAATTAAACCACAGCCGAACAACAGAAATCAGAAATCAGCTGCTTTCTGGAATAGGACAATTTTCAGCTTGAGTGGAAGTGACGGGTTAAGGCCGAGCTGGAAACGGAAAAATCCCATCTTTTTCTGATCAGAGAATACACCATATCTAGGCACTTCCAGGCTTGTTTGTTAGAGAGTAAAAAAGATCCAAAGTTAGCTATACGTTCAATAACAGTGCCCTGTTTAAAAAAGAAAAAAAAAAGATGTAGCACAGATATACAAAGCCATTTCAAAAAGGAAACAATCCACCGAGACATATCTATGATTCATTAAGGCTCAGGAGAGATTAAGATTTAAAGCAGCTAACAGAAAGGCTAAAGAGAGTACCGCAAAGATCCTTTATACGTATAAGTTATCGATCTGTTATGGAACATTAGATCTAAAACTAACATTTCAGGAATCCTAATGGCATTACTGAAACATCTGATCCTACAATAAATATTTCTGCTCGTAGCTCCTTATAATAAACACTGGCTGTCAAAAGTTAGGGTGCCAGATTTGGGTAGTAACTTTGTTTAATTATTTCAAAACATTCTCCACCGATCATTTGCAAAATATCCTGTACAATTCAAGTAAGATTCAAAGGACATTTTCAAAAAGAAAAATTTATAAAACACAAGTGGGCTAACTCTGAAATTAATGCTAAATAACTTGAAATTAAGTTGACCAGTCCTAGTAGGGTTTTCCACACTTTTCCCAAGTTCGCCTCTTTTAGCTGCAGCTATAATGACCACAGAGATTTGAAAGAATAAAGAACACTTCACTGCACGAAAGTATCAGCCAGAAGAGTACAAAAAACTCCACAGCATTATGTAACTAGGACACAGAGAACGAAGTTGCCAGTAATAGATTACAAAATTGGATTTTCCCAAAAAGTAATTAAAAGACAAAACTGAAACTTGTCAATGCCAAAAGAGTTGAAGGAACTTCCATTATGTAATTGTTTTGTTCTAAATATCACAATGATCTCCTGTGTTCTCCATATTCCTCAACGAAGAAGCAATGTCTAAAGAAAACATCAAGGCATTAGTTTTAGTTTATTTCTTCCTAACAGATTTGCCCTTTTTCAGATTAACTGTGCATTATATTTTACTTAATCAGTGGAAGTTATCTACCATGATTTTGCATTTTGACAGGGGTTTGTGTAGATGTGGGTGGCATCTTTAGTGAAGAGTGATAGAAGAAGGAATAGAAATAAAAAGAAGCTGAAAGTGTGATCTGCGGTAGATATTTTTTTAAAGCAGTATTTCGATGCAGCGCTACAGCAGGCCCTCCATCCCCAAACATTATCCAATACCACATCAGTAATCTGGGGTCATGTTCCCCACTCCACATCTGGTCTGATGCTGAACTGAAGCGGGGCCTGTGGGGACACAATAATGAGAACCACAGATCTCTGCTCCTTCTGCAGAGCTGTTTTCTTTTATGAGCCTTGTCACAAGGACAAGCTGCACAGAAATCACTGTGCAAGGGGCCTCTTTCCCATCCTCTCTGATACCAACCCATGACAAGCTGATGAAGGGGTCAATGGACGCCTTGAGGAGAAATCTCATCTGTTTTGCTGCTCAGAGTGTGCCCCGTGCCCCGGCCCGCTCTCATTATAATGTATAAAAAGACTTCAAACTGCAGACAGAAGCTAATTTTTCTTTGGCTTGAATTTCCTGAACATTGTTCAAATCAACACTCAAGTCAAATGACAGTAAGAACATGTTTGGTATGCTTTCCTGGAGTCTAACCTCAATCAGCCTTTTAATTTCTATATCAAGCACTTCACAGATTTATATACATTTCGTCAGTTGTGCTGGGAGAAGTTCTCAGTGTGTGAGAGATGGCAGGAAATGTCTAGCGTGAGCACTTCCTGTCTGACAATGCAGCCTTCTTCTCCGAGTTAAGCAATTCGTCGACAACCAACTGCACTTAAAAAGGCCTGACAGATTGCATTAGGGCTGACCCTGACCGACCTATCCACACACGCACGTACGGATAGCTGCATTTTGTCCTCAAGAGAAACTTGCAGTTACAATATGTCAAAATTGACTCATTGCAAATCAGAAGCGAACACAGTTAGTGCTTAGCTTGTGCTTCTTCACCGTAGACTGAGTTTGAGGGACATTTCAACAGCTTGTACTATTTCACAAATGACTTGCAAAATACCACTATTTTACATTGCATGAAGACCTATACAAAAAAGACAAAAAAAAAAAAAAAGTAAAGCAGATATTTACACCAGGTCGTATTAATCCGGCATTAAACCCAGACTAACTCAGAGCTGTAAAGCAATTTCAAAAGGCTGTTTCTAAACGCCTACATAAACATCTACAGCAGATGTGGAACTGGACACGGGATGATGAACATCTGCTCACTTCCTTTAATGAATGACTCATTCATTAGAAGGGTACACAATACACGTAATTCTTACTCGTCTCACTGAAGTTATTACACCCTGATTTCTAAACCGCTGCTTTACATATTCGATAAGATTGGGAGCTTGAACGAGCTTTGAAAAATATTCCTGTCCTTTTTTTGAAAAAAAGAAAAAAAAAAAAAGAAAAAAAAGGGGGGAAGCCAGACAGTATCATACTGGATTAATGCAGTTCGCTACAATCTGTATTCCTTTGCATCAACAACTCATGTCCCAAACTACACTGTAAAATGAAATTTGAGGGTATTAAATGTAAGCCATTTAAATTGTTTGCATATAATTAAAGATATTAATGCGTTAGTTTAATGTTAAAGTCAAACGTTGTGGGGAATTTTTTTTTGACATATGTTGTGGCAAATACATTTTTCACAACATTTTATTTCAAACAAACTGAAAATGTTGCTTCACTTAGCTATTTCTCATATTTCAGTGGAGGATGAAAGGAATGGCTTAAGATGTATGTTTAGTAAAGATTGAAAATTGCTAAACATTTCTTAATTATTTTGGTACAACAGTTATGCAACTTTCATTGATTTATCAACAAATTCAAACTAGCTTGCAAGCTAGCTGATGAAAATTAAAATTTGCAACCAATAAGGCTTGTAGCAGGAAGAGTGTTTTGTTGGACTGAAAATTTAAGTTGTATCCTCTCTTTAACTTGCTTAGCAAAAGTGGTAATGCTAAATTTAAACTAGTTAGCAAGCTAAAGTAAAAGTTGCAAGCAAGCTGAGCTTAGTTGAGTTAAATAAAGAGCTGCTATAACACCTTTAGTGGAGAGTTTTGGTGTTGGATTGAAAATCTAGTTTTGTATGTGTGCATATTTTTCTCAGAGCTAATGCTAAAGTCAAACTTGCTAGCAAGCTAAGATTTGTAAAGCCTGAGGTATTAATACCAATAAAGAGCACATTTTGATGTGATTATGTCTACCTTGCTTGAATAGATTTAAAAACCTTATTACTATTTCAGTAGCATCTTACCATCAACCATTTCTTCATATTTGCTTTTTTTTTTATTTGTTTTTTTTTTTACATAAGGGATGAAACAGAGGAGCAAAATGATCCTATTATTTCAGAACTGAACACATTTGGTTGAGTCAAAAGTGTTTGCAGTTACACTTAAACAATTCCTAATCAGATATAATAAATAGATCAAATTTACTCAAATAAAATTAATGCATATTGTTACGCTAGCTTTTTTTGTTTCAAGTTAGAGAGGTTTTTCCAGCTTTTTTTGATCAGCCTATTGCAATTTTGATTGATTCTTAATAGACAATAGTAATAATAATACAAAATAAAAATGCAGCATGTTCTTTAAAAAGGGTAGAAGTTTTGAATTAAACACAAAATGAGCAAATTATGACCTTTATCTATCCAACTAAGCTGCAATTGATCTTTGTTTAATTAAACTACAAAACTGCATATTAATAAACATGTTAATACATTCAATGAATAAAATGGGTGAGTTTTAGCTTTTGCACATTTAATAAACACACATTTTTCAATATTTGACCTGCCCAACTCTGTTCAGAGCGAGATGTATGAACAATTTCACTCTAGACCTATAACTGCCTCTCCAGTTAAAATCAGTAATTCACTGATTCAGCAGCAGCTACTATATTAAATGTCCCCAAAATACATAAGTAAGATGTAACAAAATGCAGTTAATCTCTAACCAGAAGTTCAAAGGAGTGATATAGACTCTTAACAGCAACATATATTGTTAAAAACTCAAAAATCCTGGCAAATTTAAATAAAAAGTATTTCCATTTAGCCAAGAATAATATTATATTGGATAGAAATGGTGCAGAAATACCTTTCAAAAGTAATAAAACTACACAAAAAGAGTATGAATTTTAAATTAAGAGGCAAACTATACTCTTGATAATCAGTCATAAAGCCTGACCCTTCTTATAATTACTCATCAGCCTTTTGTATGTTTCCTCTAGTATTTTGATTACTTTTTTTTTTGGATAATTGATGAGTTTGAGGTAGGAAGGCCACCTTGCCATCATCCTAATCTTTACCTCCCTCCACAGATTCACAATCAGATTCAAGTCGGGACTCTGACTGGGCCACTCAAAATCCTCAGCAGTACTTCCAGCATGTTTCTGGAAGTACTGCTGGTAAAATTCAAAGACTACTAATAAACCTCAACCTGCCAGGGTGTGAATAATTTTGGGATTAAGATTATATGGTACACCATTGTACCGTGATTGTGTGGTGATTTATTTTAAATATGAACAGAGTGGAGGCTGGGGATTAAAAAAGTTAGGAAGTTGTGTTTGAATAGATATAGGATATAAGTACAGGTTTAATGTTTGTTTTTAATGCTTTTTTATTGACAGGCAAATTTATGATAAGGATAAATAAAACAACTATTTAGTTTCAAAAGCTTTAAAAACTTAAAGACACTTGCCCTCCGATGTTTTTAGCACTCTGAATAAAAACTAAAACTTAAAAAAAAAGTTGTTAGAGAAAAGTTATCATTTAGATCAATCATATTTCTTAAATTTATAATATGACTATTGTGGTAACATATACGTTTCTCATAAAGCCTATATTTTGCGCAACTTAAAAATCACCTTGATATTAAGACACAGCTCACATTTTTAATGGTGTATTTAAGGTCTATTTTCCCAGATTTACCCCTTTAAATGTTTTTATAAGCACTCTGCCCGGCTCATGCTGCAGACCTGGCTTCGCTTTCTTCTTGTGGAACTGCTGACTGTCCCCTACCATGATGCACCAACTTCAAAGCCGAGATCAGACCCGTCACCATGCTCTACATGCTGTTTAAAATCCCGAGAATATTATCCGACGTCCCCCTCCCCGCCTGTCCCCCACTCGTCTAGTTCAGCTCTCGGTCTGTCATTCATAAAGTTGAAGGGAAATACGGTCTGCCTGCAGGACCAAACATCCCAGCTGAGCCCCGTGTGTCTGCGCCCCGTGCCGAGACTCACAGCGGTACATTTTCTTCTCATGTGAACCTTTGGTATTCTCTTTCACGCCTTGTTAAGTGACTGTCAGTCAGAAATACCTACTTGCACCCAGGAAACAGTCCGTTAACCTTCTGAAACAGCTTGTTGAAGACGGACCATCTTCCATGTCGGATTTATGAGCGCAGAAAGGAGGAGAAGAGCCTCGGAGAAAAGTGCGCCTCTGCAGCTGCAACTTTGTGCGTCTTCTTAGAGCACAAAAATTAGAAAAAAAAGAAAAGAAAAAGGAAAAAGAAATAGACAGAAAACAGCAAAAAAACTATTCCAGGACGCGATGAGGTGATGATGTCCTGAATCCTTGAAGCTGTGCACGGTTTCAGGAGGGGGAAAGAAGAGAAGTGTGCTGCCGCTCCCCTCCCTCCTCCTCCTCCTCCTGCAGCAGCAGCGCTTTGACCCAGCACCGCTGGCCGAGCTCAGCTACGATCAGTCCGCCTCAGCGGCGTGGTGGCTCCGCGGTGGATGTGCAGCGGCAGACTGAGCAGAGCGCAGCCGTCAACGCAGAGCCACAGAGGGAAGGGAGTGAACACACGGAGAGGGCGGCGCACCGGCGGGGGATGACCCACATCGATCCGCTATAATTTTCAAAATAAAAACTCCATTTAAGACTTACAACACTAGATGAAGCATGTTGAAATGAGTCAAGCTTAATTTATCTTTATCGTATACGCCCATTTACTCTTTTAATTATGGCTGAAGCGCAAAAGTCACGCAAAAAGAAACTGATTTTAACCTAAACAGGCGGCTGATTGAAAAACCATCTGGTCCCGTTTCCGGTGTTTCTGCGCACTTCACGGAGTCTGGCAAAACTCGCAGTTTGACGTTACTAGTCGCTGTTCCTGTTCCTGAATTTGGCTGCGTAAAAAGGGGAGCCGAGCCAGCCACAGACCGGGCGCTCTCCGGGGGACGCGCTGCTGCTTCCTCATCCGCGATCAAGTGGGAGATGGTGACCACCTCCACATTTACAGCGGAGCAGGAACACAGCTATCGGGCACTTTTAATTTAGTTAGAATGTCATTTCAGATCACTTATTTCACTTATTCAATTCAAAAAAGTTGAACTCACGCACACGCTGACACATTTCAACTTTTTTTTTTTTTTTTAGATGATTGTGGTTTGAGACCTATGGAAAACAAACAATACATGTCCATGATATGGCCTTCGCAAGCCTGGTAAAAACTGCTGAGTTGACAGTTGTCCAGAATACAATAACAGACTCAAAAAGACAGAAGTTCACTGCTAAAAGAAGCTGTCTGCTCATAAAGTGCTACACCAGCTGATTTCTGCTGTTTGTCCTCCTGCCAGAAGGTACAGGTTGAAGTACAGTTAATAAAGTTAAAACATCAGCAATAATAATAGTAAAAAAAAAAAAAAAACACAAAATACAAAACATGAAAATAGGGGAAAAAAAGAAAACTTCAGGCAAGCTGTCAAGTTCGATGTATAAACTTCAAGTACAAAATATCACTATTTTGTATTGTAACCAAAAATCCCATAAAATCATAAGCACACACACAGCATCCATAACTGAACTCAGTTAATTTGACTGTTTACTAATTTGTGTGCCTGATACAATCCATCCAGCCAAGCTGTTGGTGGCCAAACCGTCCAGTACCTTTTACATTATGCGTCCCCCTTTTAAAGACAATAAGATTACTGAAACTTAAGAAGCTGTGCTTATCAACTCCAGAGTCGGCTCATCCATCTCACAGGAAATATTAGAGCACTTCATGCTTCCTTCTGCTGAGAAGCTTTATGGAGATGCTGATTTCATTTTTTAGCAGGACTCGGCGCCTGCCGACACGGCCAATATCTGCTTTGCTGTGATTGATTGACCAGCAATCTGACCTACCCAAAACCCCACGGAGAATCTGTGGAGTATTGTCAAGAGGAAGAAGATGCCCAACTGCATTGATTTTATTCAAGAGGACATATGTTTAAGTAGTCCTCCCATTATTGGTCTAACTTAAAAAAAAAATATAATAAATAAATAAAGGATTTGCAACTTAGCCATCATATCTGAAACAAATCAATGTGTGTGTGGTAAATCAAAATTATAGTTTTGCTTTTAAATGATTAAAATAAATATATCTTCTAACTACAATTGGAATTTATGTAAACGCAACTGGATTTTGATTCAACTCTCCACACCCCTCCAAAAAAAAAGAAAAAAAAAAAGAAAGAAAATCCAGATTTGATGAAACATTCGAACCCAAACCTACAAAAGAACTAAAGGGTTTTTATAATGTTGTTAAACAGGGGCAAATAATTTAAGTGTTAGATATAAAAGAAATATTAAAAGTTTTTTTTAAAAGTGGAGCGCCATAAAAGACACAAGAAAATGACAAAAGGATAAACAAATATTTTAAACAAATCTTGCAACTTATTGAAATCTTAAAGTTTCTGATCCGAACCTGGGTTGTTCTCACCTGTAAAAGAAATTAAGCAATAAATTAAATAATCTCTGTATATACTTTCTCATTTGACACCTGAATGGTTTATGCCCTTTATTCAGAAAAACCTTTTACATACAATCAAGAACTGTGAAAAGAAATTTGTCTAATTAAAAATATACATATAAAAAGCTTTACAATTAGTTTTGATTGTTTTCTTTTATCCAAAAATCCTTGTGTCTGTCCATATGGAGTACCTGCAGAGACTTCCATTTTCAAATTAAGTTTAATTGATTTATTTCACCATCTTCCCCAGTTGAACATTTACATAAATTATAATTGTAAACATTGCTCGGAATTGGCTCAGTAAAATAAATCAATGTAATCCACTCCTTAAAGCACAGGCCCGAAACTCATACACTATACATCTGCAGTGGCACTAACATATTTAGACTCTCTTTCTGATTCTTGGGAATTAGGAATGCAATTCTAGAATAAAAATAATAAAAAAAACATTTAAAAATGACTCCCAGTGAGCAAATTTTCCTCAAATCAACAGCATCTGATGCGTTGAAATTGCATTTATGAGCAGGATTAGATCAAATCATAAAGAACGTATTTTACTTCCAACCTCAATAGTTTTATTAACCCATACTTTTATCACCCTCCTTGAGAATTATTATCAAACGCAGTGAGTGCCATGAAAGAAAGTTCATACTGCTTGACCTTTTTCACGTGTTGTTACGTTGCAACCGGGAAACTCGTTTTTTTATTGGTATTCTACACAACTTGTAATAAAACAATACATAAATCTCGGAACACCTCCCAGTTGGAAGACAACAACTTCAAACCAGCCAAAATGTTGCTGTTCAACTAAACTAACAAGGAAGCAGGAAGTCAGAAAAGCAACCATGAAATTCTGCAAAGATCTACAGCTCAGGTGGGAAACTCTGACAAATGGAAGCAAAAAAATGTACTGTTGAAATAAAAAGCCAAAAGAGGTTTGGCACGACCTGTTTATTCACTTTTCCACATTGTAAACAATTCATAATCACAGTTCTCACGTACAAGTGTTGTCAGTGTTTTCATGGATAAAAATCCCAGTTTACTTCAAGTAATATATCCAAAGCTTGGGATTATTATTAAGATTTTTAGTTCAGTCTATCAGAAGTGTTTGGTAATGTTCTTTTCTGGTTTGATTTTTCCTTACCGTATACTCTGAATACTGAAAAAAATTGCCAGGCAGATGGACATTACAGACATATTTTCAAATTGACAAATTAACATTTTTAAATACACCTACATTATGACTGATCTGCTTTTCCTCTAGTCTTGCAAATGTGCCGTCATCTTAAGAAACATCTTAAAACCCAAAACTTTTGATGACGATACACACAGAATGTCACTGATTGCCTCATTTTTTGGAGCTTTTTGATTGGTCCAGTCACCAGAAGCATTAAGGATTTTTTCAGGCTGTTTTAAACAATATTTTTGGAACATTTTCAAATAACTCCTGATAATAACAAATTTATGATAATTGCTAATAATTTTCTGATTGCTCCTGGCAATTCTGGTCGTCTGTGATATTTTCCTGAGCAGAGACCTATGGTAGAAAATATTTTGCATCTTACAAAAGACATAGGTTTTATTTTATTTATTTTTAAATATTCCAACAGATAACTACTTACATATTCTTTTTTTTTTTTTTTCATAATTATGGTCTTCATTGGCCAGGAAGCCTCCACAAAGACCTTAGATCCAACAACACCAGGCACCTCACCCCAAACCGCACACGAATATGACCCCGTCATGAATGGATCAGGTGATGATGATGATGATGATGATGATGCAGGATATACGATCTTTGACAAACTGGACTTTGAGATTAACAGTAAGAAGTACCAGCTTCTTACTTCAATGTCTCTTTTGAGTAAGACTTTACGGTAAGTTCCTGCTATAATGTGATGCAAGGTATCGGTAATAAAAGTGGCATGAGGTCACACTTGTATCTTTATTGTGTCCGTAAAATTCTTATCGACGTTTAAAGTACTGTAAAAATACGCAAATATCAGAGGTCACTATTAAATAAACATAAGACATTTATGTAAGACTGATGGGTAGATAAACTTCACTTTCATTATTGTGTTGAACAATGGAGTCTAGGTTTTATTCGTTATGTTAAGTTGTGATAGTTTACTACACAATTTTACCATATAAACACAGGTTTTATAGTATTTATACAGTAAAATTCTGGAAACCACAGCTGCTGGTATTTTACTGTAAATTACAGACGATTTTTTTTTTTTACATTGTATTTTTGACAAATAGCTTTTTGCTTTTATTTTGGGGTTTAGTCTTTTGTAACATAACTTTATAACTAGTCCTGTATATGTAATTGTTCTTATAGTTGTATGGTTAAATTAATCTATTTCACTCTTAAATTTATTGACTTGATATTTTTACGCTAGCGGTTTGTTTTTTTGTTTTTTTTGCCTCACCTGCACATTTTGTTTATTTCTCTTTAGATTTGAAGTGAACTAAATTGAATATTGTAAAAAAAAAAAGAGGAACAGACCAAAAAGAAGAACAAACTTTCATATTTAAGTTGCAAAAAGCCATATAGGAGAAACAGCAAACATGTTTTAGAACATTGAACTAGACCAAAATGTAACTAAGGCTTCATGGATGTACAGCAGGACGAAGGAGCAGACAGAAAAGGAGGAAGTTCAATTAATCTCTTCCATGGACCATAATAGGCAATAATACAGCATCTCTGTTGCCATTCAATCAGACACAGATTTAAAGAGGAGCGGCAAAAGCAAATGAGGGGGGTTAGCAGTAATTGCCAACAACTGATGCTGTAATCCAGAACATGTTACTGTGGAATATTATCTCTGCTCGAGCTGTTAGCATGTTATGATAGTCATGAGGCTGTCACACAGCAACGCTCTTCAGTCAGAGAGAGGCTTCCTCAGATTTACAGACAATACGAGTTACGACATTTTATTTCCATTGATTACATTTGGATTAGCATAATTAGCTTTATAAAGGCCAAAAAATTAACACTACATCACTCTGAGCTCACCATCTTCATGATGAGAGATGGCAGAGGCAGCGTCATGCTGTGGGAAGATGGATGGAGATGAAGCAGGGCAGCTTAGGATCTATAGCAATACTTGAATGTAAATGTTCACAGACGTTTTCCATCCAACCTGACTGATAATGAGGTATTTGTTCTCTCAGTAGGTTTAACTGCAAATGTTACAAAACTTTTTAGAATTTTATTTGTTATAAAAATACACCTTGCACTTCTCCTTTTACTTTGCCATCTTGTGCTTCTTTATGTTGCGAAATCCATTTAAGTTTGTGGCCAAATTGAGAAAAAAAGTTAATAGGGTGCAAATACTTTTGTAACTAACTAAGTATGTTAAGGTTAAAAGTCTTGGTGTTTACAGTGTCATCCATCTTCCCTCGAAGCGTCACAGTAGGGCTTTGCGGCCTATTAAGAGAAAACTTTTTTTTTTTTTTTAAATCACAAAATTCTTAAGATGGGAGACTCATGTGGGCTGCACAGTGGCACAGTTGGTAGAGCTGTTGCCTTGCAGCAAGAAAGTTCTGGGTTCGATTCCCTGGTCTTTCTGCATGGAGTTTGCATG